TTATATTAGGAAATGCTTAGGTTGCTTACAAACTATAGTGTTGTTAACATGTATCAAAAATAAGAGTTTTTGGTTGTATGGAAATTGTTGTTGTTTTGTCAGAAGTAGCAGAATATTTATTTTGTAGTTTTTTTAGTTATTTTTGCAAATTTATTTCTTTGATTTCTCTTTACATTACCCATCATCTCGCTTTTTATTTCTCAACTTTACGCCTCAAAACAGTTATCTAAAACGGCTCCATGTTTGAGTATTTCTAAAATCTAGGTACAACAAATCCTTTTACCTTTCTGAACTACAAGGCCCATGATGCAGTTCGACGTCTGTCGTCATCTACCGTCGCCTCCCATTTGGTGACGTAGCGCACGAGTCGCCGGGAGAAGTTTGAAAATAAACGTGAAACTTTTTGCTTTTTCTTCTTTGAACGTCCAGACTGTTTTATTTATCGCTTTTCGGACACGTTTGGGTGTAATTTCACGAAAACGACGAGTCGAAGTCCGCAACACTAAGCAGAGGAAGCGCGTTTTCAGGTGAGTAACGTTAAAAAACATTGTGTAAACTCTTGCTAGCTGAGCCTGAATGTGACAACATGAGGCTGTTTTTTGTCAGATTCTTCTCACACTCGCTGAACTCCGCGGCCGCACCGTACGAGCTTATCTTACCGTAACATTAACAGAAAGAGATACTAGTGCTGAAGAACTAGGAGGGTGCAGACTTTTAGGACTTGAAGTTGAGCTCAGCAACGGAACCGAGCAGAAAGTGTCATTTGGAGCGGCGGCTGACTGACCGCAGGCCCACCTGTAGCCTGTCGGGGGYTGTTTTTCAGCTGTCAAAACCTCTGAAACCACTTGCTGAAGAGATGAGGCGGCGTCGGGCCACAGCCGGACAACTGATGGTGAGATAGTTGAGGGAAAGAGAGGATCTTTCTACCTCAGATTCAAGCAAATAGTTAACTTTTCCCACCCACTTAAAATAGAAGTGGTGTAAAGTAAATAAATGTAATCAGGAAATTAATGTAAAACTGACTTTCTTTATTAGACAGGGGTCTGCAACCATTTAAAATGACAACTTTACCTTCTTTCCTTCTAAACAAAGTTAACATAGAGCAAATAAATTTACCTGAATCTTAAAAATGTGCTTCATAGATTTAAAATTTTGTACTAAACTATGTGTAGGAGGATAATATTATTATTGATGAAGCATTCATCAGATTTTTCACTAATTTTTGTTTCTTTATATTGCAACATAGTTTTGAAATGCACACATTTCTATTAAATTCTAACAAAGATAAAAAAAACTATAGTTTGTGTTGGGTTGTATTATCTGCATTATTTATTTTAAGTAATATAAGCTGCCCATTAAGAGATAAATAAAACACTAGATTACAGGATCAACATAAAAATTGAGATCAGTTTGTTGGTGTTTTTTTATTTTCTAAATAGAAAGCCACAGCCGTTATTTATTTAACCTACTCCGGTGCTTAGCTTTTATTAGAGGCATCAATAKTATTTTAATTTATCTTTTTTATTTTATCAAGTGTCTTGCTAAAAAGCATTCCAGTTGACCTTGTCAGAATCAGAATATTTTATTGAACCTTGAGGGAAATTACAGGTATTACAGCTGCAACCGTTCAGATCAGAAAACTGTGAAAGAAAAAAATAAGCACACTACAATAAAATAAGTATAAACACCCAGGATTACAAAATAAACACACTTATGTACACATAAGCAATGTACAATAAAAATAATAGAAATATTAAGAAAATGTGTACAGCATGTAACGAGAGATGATGTTTGGTACATTGCACGTTTGGTGAGTGTCATGGGTAAAATACAGTAAATTAAATATAAAAAAAAAGACTAAAAATAAAAAATGTACAGATGTATTAATATATGTACAGATGATCTAGTTTCACATGTTTAGGGAGGAGTATGACACCTTTAGATTTCTGGGTTGTTTCAAATTGAGTAGATGATGATTTTACCAAATAAACAAGTTTAAGAGAGAACTTTGTTGTTTTCAGCTCCACTGGTTTATCTTCAGGCTCATTAGACATACCCCACCCTAAAGTCTGGAACCATTAGACTGAGCTGTGTGTACAGAATAAAAAAAAAAGGCAAGAGGAAAACATGCAAACCCCAAGCCCACCCCGAGACCTTCCTGCTGGGAGACAACAGTGCTAACCGCTAAGAACCTCTTGCTTCTGTCTTCCAGGCAGCGATGTCCTCCCCGTCTGAAGAGCCGTCACCCAGTATGTCTGCCGTCCTCTCGTCTGCGCTGACAGCTGCTGTGTCGGCTGCCCTGGCGGTGGCCACAGCGGTGGATGCCAAGGCGGATCTTGCCAAACTGCTAGACGAGTGGGAAGAAGCGCGGCGGGGCGCCACAGAGCAACTGGTGCCCGTCCTGACCAAGTCMGAGTCTTTCCATATGTTTTTTCTGTTTGTCTGAATGTTTGTCGACGCCTCAGCCGTGTCTGAAGTCTGATTTATTTGTTTGTTTGTTTGTTTGTTTTCAGAATATCTGAACTAATTGAACGGGAGACTACAGAATATAACAAAGCGGACCCAGATCCATTTGATGATCGTCACCCAGGTGGCCACTGGTGCACACAAATGTGTTTTTAAACTGCAGTAAACATTAAAATCCAAAGCCGAGCAGACAGACAAGATTCCATAAGTCTGTTTAACTCATGAAATTAAGGAAAAGATGTTGAGTTTCTGGATTGTGTGTAAATTTGCAGGACGAGCGGACCCGGACTGTATGCTCGGACAGCTGCTGAAGATGCTCTTTATGAATGACGACTTCACTAATTCGGTAACAGCTGCTCGTTTCTTTTTTTCACTTTTTGTTTCTTCATGTAGCAGCATAGATTTGAAATGCACATTTCTATTAAATTCTAACAAAGATAATTTGTAAAAATCTAAATCGAACAATTCAGTGACTGATTAATGTAGTTTAATTCACTTCATGAGACTAAACCACCACTTATTAAAGAGAAATCTTGTTAGATGTCAGCAGTGATAAACACATGATGAGTTCTGAACCAGCAGGATGGATGTGCTGAAATGAGATTTGGCCACAACAGCTTCAGCTTATATAACTGTAGGAATCTGTGTTAACATCCAGAATCCAGGAGGACACTTTCAGGGATCATTTAGACTTCAGGCATTTAGATGCTGCATTTAAAACTAACAGAGTTGCTTTCATTCATTTTTGTATTTTTGCAGCTCTTGGACTCTTACATAATGTCCAGTCGAGAGCTGAACCTCAACACAGYGGCCTGTCGGCTCCTTCAGAACATCATGCCGGCTCTGGATGCCACTGTGGTCTTTGAAGAAAAGGTAAAAATGAAATGATAATTATTAGGTGAAAGCTTCAGTATTACCATTTAAACTTCTTTTACAAGTGAATGTTTAAAGTGCCTGTGATGTGTATATCCTTCAGATACATAAAGTAAAATAAAACAACTTTATGTTTAAGAAATTTTGCATAATACACGTGATTTTACTCATTTTGTCACATAAATCACATATTTTCTTTTGAACTTGGTTCAGCTAAAGTGAAACAGGAAGTGACATCAAAGGGGAACTGTTTAAGAAAGACAACTCTGTTCTTTATGGAAACAATATTTAAACTTTAACTGTTCTTCGTCTCTCTGATGGCGACTCAAAATAATCTAAAGAAGCATCAGATTCTTCTCTACAGTCTGTCTTAGCTGTTGTAGCAACGCTCTGTTTACATGCAGACATTCCCCTTTGACGTCACTTCCTGTTTCTTCACATGCAAATATCTCAACAACTTTCCATCTCAGCAGTGTGAAATTAGTTTTGCAATATGTTGTCAATGTTATCTTTCCAAAAATGTGTTCATATTTATTACTAATACTGTATTTTATGTCGCTGGCACTTTAAGCGTTATTTTGTTTAATGTGTGTGTTTACAGGAAGGCCTCATTGCAAAGTTGTTCAGTTGGGCCCRTGAAGCTGAGCGACCGCTGTGCATCTACGCCACAGGCCTGCTGGCCAGAGCCATGAGCAACCAGGATGTGGCAGCCAAGTACAAAGAGGAGAACGTTCAGCTGGTGGGTCTCGCACAGAGAAAACACTTTGATTTACTTTTCTTGTGTTCTGCGATTCACGAGGAGTTCAGACCAGCAGGCATCTGGTCAAAGAAGCATGTTGTGAGGAGATAAAACCAGAACACAAACAGCTGTGGATAAAAACATATTTAAGATTTAGATTGTTTTGTATCCATCTTTTAGATAAAATTCAATTTCTGTGTTTTAAAAGTAGTTCAGTTTTTAAGGATTATTTTTTTGTTTTTTGGTTCACTTTTTTGCTTGGGACAGACACAAACAGGGAGAATACAACAAAAGGGAAACTAGCGAGATGTTCACATTTTTCATGTAAATCTCAAAAAGTTTATATTTTTATAAATTATTTTTCTTATTATATCATACCTAATATATTTGAGTTAAAAAGAAACATATACCATAGCTGTTAAAGTGATGCTGCCTCAGCTGGATTCCTCTAAAATTCATTGTGTTTACAAAGATAGAGCTGCTAGAATGTCTGGGTTTGGATCTGGGCCTCAGTGTTGAGAAAATATCACAAACAATATTGTTTGTCTCACTTTTATTAGAGAATTTTTACCAACATATATTCAACAATGGATATTTATCAGATTTGTCGGCCTGTTTATTAAAAACCAAAACATGTTCAGAGGTTTTACTTGTCTTCAAAAATGATAGAATTTAAAACTATAATTACCTTTTCATTGCAAAGTCTCAAAGTTAGTTTTTTGAAATAATTCCAGCCACTTTGCTTGTTTGCAAAATTCAGGTTTCCATCATGATTAATCGTCTGCGTGAGCTGCAAGCCTCAGAGGCCTCAAGCCACTTTATTCCCACCCAGACTGGCCAGAACCTACCTCAGGACTCTCAGGATGAAACCGATCGAACCTCAGGCGTCGCAACAACGCGACAAAGCAAGACAAAGCKGGAAGACGCTGGCGAGGAGGACGAGGGGAAAGGAAAGGATGAAGAGAGCAGCAGCTCTGCAACAAAAATCAAACCTCAGTTCCCATCGTGTTCAACACAGAGAAATGATGGTTGTAGCAGCAGCCCCACCTGCCAAATTCCAGACTCACCTTACCCCCCAGAAAGAGCAGATTCAGCCTGGAAGAAGATGGAGGCCACTCAGGGAGAAGGAGGAGGAGGAGGAGCGAAGAAACAGGCTGTAAAAGAGAATGGGAGGAAGGCTAAGCAGAAGCTCAACTTCACGGTCTCCTCCAGGAGGAGTGAGGAGGAGGAGGAGGAGGAAGGCAGGGCTGAAACCAGCAAACCACAGCCCAGCAGCTGGTCCTGGTCTGAGATGAGCTCGGTTCTGATCGGCTCTGATTACTGCCTTTCTCCTCTGAGCCCCGCCATGGAGCAGAGGCTCATCCTGCAGTATCTGACCCCCCTGGGAGAATACCAGGAGGTGAGGGTCCTAACCACAGAATATGACCTCAAACAGAACAAGAAGAGTTTTCATTACAAACATTTAATACTTCCATCTTTACAGCTGCTCGCAGTCTTCATGCAACTCGACACCCGGTCGCTGCTGATGAATTACATCGAACTCAGGAAGACGAAACACGTCCAGCTCACCTTCGATGCTCTCCTGGTAAGACTGAACTGGTTTATAAATTATTTATTTAGTTTTTTACTTAAGTAACAGAAACTACTTGTATATAAGGAAAAGATAAATCGGTTCTGGTTTGTGTTCTTTAAACACAAGGTTTTTCATTGTTTTTATCAAGTAATTTACTAGTTTATTAAATTCTCTAAATCCCAACAGTCAATTAAATGTCGTCATCAATCTGCAAATATCAGTTTTGGACTTTTTTTAGATTTATATTTGAAAATTTCTAAGTGGGGGGAAAAAAAGCTCAGTTGAAGATAATTTCTTGGGTTACAAATTAAAAACTCGTAAGATATTTAGTTCTCAAATGTTACATTTATTGTTGCAAATAATTTAAAAAAGACAAAGTTTAAATGATCCTTTTGAACTAAAACTACATTTTTTTATATTTAAGGCTGGTTTTGGTGTCATAAAATACATTTATTTATTTACTGTATAAATATAGTTTGTGTCATGTCTTCAGTGGAATTATGAACTAAATTTTGTAAGTCATCAACTAACTTGGTAATTTAGTTTAATAATCATATTATGAGACCTATCTCGTAACCAGATTAAAATGATGTATGATCTATAATTAAGCCACCCTCCTCGCTCACTGAGAAAGATGCCTGTGGGTAAAAGATAATCTCACATTTTGTGGGCGGGGCTCTGCTGTTTTATTTAGCTAACCGGGTCATGGAGATCATAAAAACAGGAAACCTTAATCCTGATATATAATAGCAGGTTATACAAATGTTTTTGCAGTTCTATGTTTATACTTGTGTTTCTACATTCTGTAGAGCAAACCAGCTACTAATGAACATTTTACAGTGACAAAGAACGTCAGAAGAGACAAAGTAATCTTTTGTTTTGAAATGTTTCTTGTGCATAAATTTCTTTTTTTCTTTTCTTAGTTTCACAACAAACTCAGTGTTTGAGCGCTTTACTCCCAGTTTAAAACCTTATTTATTTTAAATGCAAATTACCTTTCTCTTCTAAATGACTTGATATTATTTGCTTGTTCTTATATGATCATGTTCGTTAACACCTGCTTAATTTGTGCGTTCTCTCAGTTTCTCTCTGCGCTGCTGCTGCATAAAAAGTTTGCTGCAGAGTTCATCGCTCACGGAGGAGTGCAGAAACTTCTGGAGATCCCGAGGCCTTCGATGGCGGCGACAGGAGTTTCTCTAAGCCTCTACTACCTGGCCTACAACATGGACACGATGGAGAGGGTAYGGTCAATGTGCACAACAAACATCTGCACATCTTATGTTACAGTTACATACTTTTGAAGAACTTTTCAGCTGAAGATGTTGAGGTGATAAGGATGGATAGAATTAGAAATAAGCTCCCAGAAAGTAGTCAGTGAACTCACCTTTTACAACTGATTAACTTCTAAAGTCACCACAAATCAAGATGGCCACCAAGCTAATTAACATTAGCAAACAAAAAGGGCTCTTCTTGACTTCCAGAGGGAACAGTCATAACTCTCAAAGAACATTTCAGACTCAGAACTGACCAAATCTCYTCCTGGTAAACCAAAATGATCACTTTATAAAATTTCCGTGCCACATACCGTAAGTTGAGGTGCGTTGCGTGGCTTGGACCCGCTCATATCTGCTTGCAGTTCTAATTCTCTGTTTCTTTCTTTTTGCTCATAGGTGTGCATGCTCCCAGAGGGTGTGCTGTCAGATCTGGTGTCCTACGCTCTGTGGTTGCTGGAGTCGTCCCACACGTCAGGCGTCTGCCACGCCACCATATTTTTCTCCATTTCATTCGCATTCAGGGCGGTGCTGCAGCTGTTCGACCAGCAGGATGGCCTGCGCAGACTCGTCAACCTGGTTAGTTACAAAAATCATACATTTTCCAATTAGTTGTTGCAATTTTTGTTATTTAAGAAGCGTAAAATAATGTGGAAATAAGAGTAGAGATCCTGTTTGTAGAAAAATTCATAGAAGAAAGTTCTTACTGTAGGTCTGAAAGTTAAACTTTGTTCCTCACCTCATGTTAATGTTAGCTTAATGGAAAAGCCTCAAAATGCTAACGTATAAGTAAAAAAAAGGTTGAAAATAATGACAGAATGCTGAAAGCTGCAAAATCTAAAACTGATTTGTTAAAAACTAAATGAAGCCAAACACTTGCTAATAGCTAAAAGAAGCAATACTCTGGCTTAAAGCTAAAAGAAGCTAACTGTAGTTAGAAGCTAAAAGTAGCAAAATGTTTAAAAGCTAAAAGTAGCAGAATAGAAGCATAAATGAGTGTCTGCCATAAACCTTTCAAATTAAAACCTTGTTTTATTGATGCCTTCTTCCTCCCTGCAGATCAGCACTTTGGAGATCCTGAACACAGAAAACGAGGCGTCCGTAATGAACGATGACCRGGTCTTCTCCAGCCGACAGACGGTCCGGCACACGTGCATGGCACTGCGCAGGTAGAGCAGTAGATGCTTGCACTGAAGCACAAATGGTTCATGAATAAATGCAAAGACAGAGAAATTAATTTCAAAGTTAAAATTCAAAACTGCACCATGGGTTGATTTGTTGAAGGTACTTCGAGGCTCACCTTGGAGTGAAGACTGAACAGGTGAAACACTCCCTGCACAGCTCCGACAGTGGCTCTGTTGTTCCCCACCAGCCCCCTTACAAGGTATAAAGTTTGTCATGTGTCCCCTCTGGTAAATTAAGTTTTCTTCACTTGGTTAATAACATGTATCAGGTGTCACATATACTTCCTATGGAAGCACTTTTAGAGGTTTTCTGTCAGTTGTTAACTTTTATTATAAACTTTCTTTAATAAAAGCCTGCATGTGTCTCCAGGGCTGTACGTACACCAGAGAGCAAGTAATTGAGATGATGGAGTTTCTTATCGAGTGCGGACGTCCTCAGTTCCACTGGGAAGCAGTCGAAGTCTTCTACAAGCTGTCCTGTGTTCCTTTAATGTTGCAGCTCATTTCCAGAGCTGCCGACTGGAAGACCTACATCGGCAGGTAATCTGACCCTTTGTGAACTAACAGAACCCCTAAAAACAAACGAGCTGAACAAAAAACTTCTTTTACTGTTCTTAATTATTTTTTTATGCAGGAGCGACATAGCGCGCTATTCATTGGACATCCTGGCTATCTTGACGGTGGTTCCTAAAGTCCAGTTGGTGCTGGCTGACACCGTAGAGGTTTTGGATGAAAACAGGTCGACTGTTTCCACAGTAGGTCAGAAACACTTTCCAGTTTATATTTAGATTTTAAGATAAATGTTCAATTTTTAAAATTTAAGTTTCAGAAATCGTGTATTTCACTGTATTTTTGTCTTTCTGCTGCAGGTATGAGCATCATTCTGGGTGTTGCTGAGGGCGATGTGTTTGCTAATGATGCTGAAATTCAAAAGTCTGCGCTACAAGTAAGCAAATCTGTTGCTATTCTAAAGCAATGCATTGTGGGTTAACAGCATGTGGGTGTATAGCCTTAAAGAATGGCCACAATAGCTATTGAACGTTTTGGTTTAGATTAAATAACTGCAACGGTCCATGTTGCAGTTCAGTTTAAATTCTTTGGTTTTTGACAACCTTTGACTCTCATCTCGTCCCTCTTTYTGCTCCAGGTGGTGATAAATTGTGTGTGCGCTCCAGAAAAAAACATCAACACCCTTGGTGTTTTTGCACCAACATTGTTTAAGTTGGTGCTGACCAAGATGTGGCAACTAGTGCAGAGCAATAATGGTATAAAGGTAAACCGTTCAAATATATGTATATGTGCAACAACAACAACAACAATAATAATAATAATAATAATACATTTTTTTCTGCTCTCGGAGGAGTAAGACACTTTCCTTCTCTCCTGCCCTCCTTTATCTTTCCCTGCTTTGCTGCTTTGAGCCTTCTCTATGTTTTCATCCGAACCGAAAATTATGGATTTATTTATGGATTTGGTTAGCTGGTCTCTTAATAAATTTTTGGAACAATTCTTTTTCCATGGGAGGACATGTGGGACCTCTGTTCTGCTCTGTTCAACTAGCATATATTGGATTCTGATCACTGGATTCTACAGATTGGCTTGGTGGTCTCCTGGGGCCTCATGTATCAACGGTGCRTAYGCACAAAAACYTTGTGTACGTCATTATCCACGCAAAACTCCGGATGTATCAAAACTCAACTGAACGTGGAAATGTATGCAGCCCCACGCAAACTCCAGGGCTGGCGTACGCACGTTTCTGTGGCTTTGGTTCCATTGGTGACACTTAGAGGTGATTCTGAGAAACTGTTCATGATGTGAAAATGATTATTGTTCACAGCAGACACACATGGTTAACAATTATTACATCCACATGGACGCAGTTAAATAAAGGACGCGCAAAGTTGTGCCAAAAATACATTTAACAGGAATGGATTCAGMYTTACTGGAGGATATAATAAATAGTGTAACATGCAGAGCTTTTATTTATAAACAGATAGAAATTTCTGATGACGAGTGGCTCATCAGCCGTTTTGAGGAAAAATAATTTTTTAGTTTGGCAATGCTGCGCTCTGGGAGCGCGACGCAGCGAGTAGCCGCGTGCACGTGCAGCAGCAGTGGTTGAACTGGGGTTCCACAGGAGCTTTCCAGAGGGAGCTGGCAGACCGATCGGGACTGTGTCAGTCCAGTCCACCCAAAGCTGAATCATGACCAACRGAATCGTCTCATCCATATGATTCTAAAGGCTGAGTTATGGTCGCRCTCTGGAGCGCGCGCACTCTCGACGGCAGTGGAGGTGTTTCATACTTGGCGTTTACGTTGTTATAGATTTCTCCAAAATGACACGTGGAAGTACACKTTACAACTTGTGAAAATGCTGTAAGTAGGAGAGCAAAAGCTTGACAGACAAAGAGACTGCACACAAAGGCTGCGGCGCGCGCAGCGTTTGTGGGGACTCTCCAACATCACGTCACGTCATGTGAACTCTCTACTGAGACGCAGAGACTCGTTTCTTAATATCAGCTACGAAATAAACTAAGATCTATGTTCTACCAAACATTTAYGTTCCTCTGTGTTTACAGTAATTATGGTAATAAACTCATGCGCAAAGTTAATATTTTCAGACTCAGAATGGATGGATGAGCCGGTTGCGCAACACAGCAGCGTGCACACAATCGCTCGTTCTTTGCCTGATAAACATATTTTATTCCTATTTTTACTTAGGATTTTTTTTCACACACATTATATTTAAATCATTATTTTTATGACATTAGAAATCATTTCTGATCGCACAGGGATCACTCAAACGTGTCCTTCACAAATGCAGGAAGTAATTTGCATCTATTTAACATGTTAATGAAGGCGTGTCAGGGGAGGTGTCTCACCTGCGCTCAGTTCCACGTTAATTGTGATGTACAAAAGCAATGTGCGTGGATTCAGGCGTACGCACAGTTTGATACATCTGGATTTTTTTGTGCGTACGCCGTTTTCTGGGTTTGACCATATGCCAGGTTTCAGTAAGAAATCCACGCAAGTCGTTGTACATGAGGCCCCAGGTGTTCTGCAAAACAGCGTCGGTGGCTATTYAGACCATTTCCTGTCTGCCTGACCACTATGAAGGATTGCTGTTCTATCAGCACTCAGACTCACGTACTGTGCGAGCTGGACTCGGTCTACAAGCGGTTCCCTCTAAACTGAGGGTCGCGGGCCGGCTATGGTCCCTGGACTTTGCTGGCCAGATGGAATTGATCTTGGAGAAGCTGATAGCTCGGCTTGGTAGGATTGTCCACGTTATTTGTCTGATTGGATTTGCCACATTGAGATGTACCAGCAGAAACATTTTCTTCTGTTCCCAAACAACTGATTACAGATTGCACCCCCCCCCCCCCCCCCCCCGTGGCCTTGAAAAGCTGTGGATCTAATTTCTCTTAGTGTTTATGTTGAGGCCCCCCCCCCACCCACACCACACACACACACACTTCGTCTAATCTGATCCCCTGAAGGTCAATCGGGAGCTGCACAGAATGAACAATCAACACCAGTATTCTGAACTGTGGGGTTTTTCTTTGGGGGACTCGATTCTTCGGACTCTTTCTTCATATATTCACACAAGTGCATACAACATTCATGGCTTCAGATACACGCCCTCTAAACTCACTTACTCCTCTGGCTAATAAATTCTTGCTCTGCAGAGGTTTTTTCTATAAACACCATAGTGTGTCACATTTCGTTGATAGAATGTTTTTTTCTCATCTAACCTTGTGTGGTATTTAGTTTTTCTTTTTAAAGGTAGCGCGACCCCTGCTGTTTGCCGCATGACCTGCTGACCTGTTACCCCATGTTTTTGTCATGTGTGTCTTCTTGAATGGGTGTTCTTAAATGTAATTTCATTATGCTCCGTACAATGACAATAAAGGCATCATCAAATCAAATCAAATCAAATGGGATGTCTTGTTCTCTTAGATGTCATTGTTTTTGTTCACCTCTTGTGTCCTTCAGGTGCTTCTGTCTCTGCTGTCGGTGAAGGTGCCCATCACAGACGCAGACCTGATCCGTGCTCTGAGCTGCAAGGCTCTAGTTGGACTTTCCCGCAGTGCTGCCATCAGACAGATCATCAGCAAGCTGCCGCTCTTCTCCAGTGGCCACATTCAACAGGTGAGCTCCAGATGTTCATYGCTGGAGAAAAATCCCTGAAGGTTTACGGACTTCACTTACCATGCGTTTGTTTTCCTCCCTCTGCAGCTGATGAAGGAGCCGGTGCTGCAGGACAAACGAAGCGAGCACGTGCGCTTCTGCCACTATGCCGCCGAGCTGATGAAGCGAGTGTCCGGCAAGCCTCTCCTCATGGGGACTGACGTCTCCCTGGCTCGTTTGCAGAAGGCTAATGTGGTCGCCCAGTCACGCATCGCATTCCCCGAGAAGGAACTCCTCATCCTGATCAGGAACCACCTCGTGGCCAAAGGACTCCACGAAACGGCAAACACCCTCGTCAAAGAGGCAAACTTACCCTCGGTGTCTTCCCTCTGTCCAAACTCCTCCTACGTTTCCCCTCTGCCTCCCGCTTCAGTACCCAGGACTTGTCGGTTAGCCGGCGGGATCGCGGCTCGTGTTGCCGGCCATTTTGGAACCTCTCCCGTGTCCTCGGGTGCGTCGGCCTCTCGATCGCTCGTCATTCCTCACTCATCGAGCTCCGTGGCTTCTACCTCAGCAGTCCTGACTCCTCATACCCCTCATCCTGCACCTAACGGACAGGGCTCACATCCTGTCGGCCGGATTCTGTTCTCACGTGATCGCCCTTCGGGCAGCTGCAACTCAGGGAAGAAACTCCGTGCACTAAAACAGAAATCTGACCACGGTGCTTTTATACAGGTTGGTGATTTTTTGTATTTTTTTTTKTTTTGTTTTCATTTGCCCAGTAGTTTGATTATTTAAATGTTACACTAATCTCAATCCAGCCAAACATTTAGATGTATGAGTTAGCTAAAGTAGCACCAAACTGCATTAAGAGCTAACGTCTTCATCTCCTCGATCAGACTCCAGCTATAAAAAAACAGCTGGAGCTCCACGTTCCTTCCCCGCCGACCTTGGACAGCATCATCACAGAGTACCTGAGGGAACAACATGCCCGCTGCCGCAACCCTGTCACCACCTGCCCCCCGTTTTCCCTTTTTACTCCTCACCGCTGCCCCGAGCCCAAGCAGAGGCGCCAGGCATCACCCAACTTCACTACCCGCCTGGGGAGCAGGGTGCTGTACCCAAAATATGGAGGCGTGGACAGAGGGTGTCTGGATAGACACCTGATATTTAGCAGGTAATAAAATGTGACTAAAATCTAATTATTAGAAGAATTGCCTTAAACTAAATAATGTCTGGTGCTGTGAAAATTCAGTGTGTGTTTTTTATGATTTTCTTCTTGCGTTAAGGTTTCGTCCCATGACTATGTTCCACGAGGGCGATGGAGACGAGAGCAGCTTCACCTGCTGTGCCTTCTCAGCCAGCGAGCGTTTCCTGATTCTGGGGACCGTCTCCGGTCACCTCAAACTCTACAATATCTTCACAGGACAGGAGGAGGCCAACTACACCTGCCACACCTCTGCCATCACGCACCTGGAGCCCGCCAGGGTATTTTGACACACAAACAGTTTAAACCTTTTACAGATAAACTGGTTCAACTGAGTTAGTTTTATTATGAAGAAAATTTTTAAATGAAAGAGTGTCTGAAATCTTCCAGTCTGGTTTTAAACATTTACACAGCACCAAAACAGCTTTAGTGAGGGTTTTTAATGACATCTTTTTAGCAAATGACTGGTCAGTTTGTGGTTCTTGAGCTGATGRACCTTACTGCAGCCTGTGATACTGCTGTTCAGTTTTATTTTTTATTATTTAGTATATATTTTATCCTTTTATTGCAGTTAGAACCCTGTGTAGGGATTACTGGAACAGCTTTAGAGTGGTTCTGCTCTTACTTGAGTAACAGACGCTTTTGTCTAAATGTTGGAAATTTATTTCCACTTCAGCATCTCTTGAGGAGTCTCGCATGGTTCGATACTGGGGCCACTTTTATTTTCAGAATATCTGCTTCGACTGGGGTCTATTATAAGGAAGCATGGTCTTTACTTTYGTTGTTATGGTGATGATTGTCAGATTTAAATGCACATGAAACGTACTGATAGTTTTATAAAGACWCTGTTGAAATGCCTGGATGACATTAAGGCCTAGATGGTGTCAATTTTTTCAAGTTTTAATGATGATAAAACTGAAGTGATTTTGTCCAGCCCTGGTTCTATATCAGGATCTCTCCCTGTGAATCTTGGCTCTCTTCATCCATATCTTAAACAATCTGTTTCTAACCTGGGGATGATTTTGGACTCKGATTTTAAGTTTGATAAGCAGGTCAGCTCTGTCGTTAAAGAAGAGTTTCTTCCAGTTGAGGCAGATAGCTAAACTTAAGCCTGTTTTAACCAGACCTGACCTTGAGAGAGTAGTTCATTACAACCAGACATGATTATTGTAATGCATTTTATGTTGGGGTTAGTCAGGCCTCCCGTTCACGTTTGCAGCTTGTTGGAAATGCTGAAGCTCAGCTTTTAACAGGAACTAGTACCTTTGAACACATTTTACCAGTTTTATCCTCTCTTCACTGACTCGCTGTGTGTCAGAGAATAGAGTTTAAAACTTTTTTGATGACTTATAAATGCCTACATGAACTTGCACCATCATATCTCTCGGACCGACTTCAACTTTATGTTGTAGGATGAAGCTCAGAGGAGATCAGCCTTTTTTGGGCTGTGGCACCTAAACTTTGGAACAACCTGCCCGCAGACAATAGACGGGCGTTTTTGATTCTGTTTCCACTGGCTTTTAATACAGCTTGAGTTCTTAGTTCCCTGATGCTTTTCCTCAACTTGTTTTCTGTGAATATCTCTGTTTTATTTTTTGTTTTATGCTGATGGTGTAAAATGTGAAGCACTTTGGTCAGCTGCTGTTGTTTTTAATGTGCTATACAAATAAAATTGAAAGATGTTCTAAWATAACGGTATCAGGAAGGACTAGTTGTAAATCTATGTACTTTCTGTCTCTTGTCCAACGTTTTTTCTTTAATAAACACACATTCTTATGTTTATTTGTGCTTCTCAGAACGGCAAACTGCTTCTCACCTCTGCCTCCTGGAGTGTCCCCCTGTCGGCTCTCTGGAGCACGGAAGACGTCTTTAGCATGAAGTAAAACAATCATTATTTGTGTAATTGYACACATCGGTAACAATCCAGAGGGATGTTGTGTTAATTTGTTTTTGATGTTTTCTTTGTCCCCAGGAACTCCTTTGCAGACGATCACTACGTTGAGTTTAGTAAACTCTGTCAGGACAGAGTCATCGGCACCAAAGACCAAGTTGCTCATGTAGGTACCGCTCATTTTTCAGTGTTTGTTGCTGCTAAAAACCTGTCCAGATAATGTTTACTTCTTTTAGTTTCTGCACAGCTTTGAAAGGTTCTCTTCTGTTCTGTAGATCTACGACATCCAGACAGGTCAGAAGACTCTGACCCTGATTGACCCCGCCCTGGCCAACAATTACAAGAGGAACTGCGCCACCTTCAACCCCACCGACGACCTGGTGCTAAACGACGGCGTGCTGTGGGACGTGCGGGGGTCGCGAGCCATCCATAAGTTCGACAAGTTCAACATGAACATCAGCGGGGTTTTCCATCCCAACGGCCTGGAGGTCATCGTTAACACGGAGATCGTATCCTCCACGCCCTAAATGCTGCTGCTGTCCTGAAACTAACGAACCAAACGTTACAGAAAGTATCAGTGTCTCGTTTAAAACAGTAAAAAACTAACCGTTGTTGGTCTTGACAGCAGAGATCAGTGGGATCTGAGGACCTTCCACCTCCTGCACACGGTTCCTGCCCTGGATCAGTGCAGAGTGGTCTTCAACAGCAACGGCACCATCATGTATGGAGGTACGAGCCCACGCGTCTCTTCTCTAACCGACAGGGACAAAATTTAACTGTCGTACACTGCGTCACACTTCACGCCACACGTCACGCCACACAACACGACACACGTCACCTGCTCTTTTTCATGCACAGCGATGCTACAAGCTGACGATGAGGAAGATGTCATGGACCAGCAGATGAAGAGTCCCTTTGGTTCATCCTTCAGAACCTTTGATGCCACAGACTACGAGCCTATCGGTAAGTTGTTCTTACTGTAGTTAGTTAAAGTGATTTATTTTCACCTTTTGAAGTGTTTATTTACTGTTTTTGTTTTTAGATTTAAAAGAACTACTAAATGTTTTATGCTGCAGTAATTATTGTTTTTGGCTTTCATAAGATTTCGAGGTTGTTTAGATCAGGGGTTCGCAAACTTTTTGAGTCTGGGGACCCCTTGCAAGGGTGAAAATTTTCCAGGGACCCCCTCATAAACCCCATGCTATTTTAAGAATCATTTACTGTCATTTTATCCTCTGAATTCCATAGAAATGTTTTTTTGTTTGTTTGTTTTACTAGTGCATTGTTACCCATATGCATAATTTTTAAATAAAAACCAAATTAACAATTTATTGAACTTTTTTGAAGACCCCTGGGGGTCCTGGGACCCCAGTTTGAGAACCTCTGGTTTAGATGTTTTTATCTGATTACTGTCTGATAATGCTAACTACAGGTCTTAATTCCTTTAATGCACATGGAAAACCTTTTCCTGGCTCACCTTTTTTATTTGCATTTGTTTGGTGGTTGKGTTGTTAAAGATAATTATTTTCAATGTATTTGTTGTGTACTGTTTACCAGCCACAGTGGATGTAAAGAGAAACATCTTTGATCTGTGTACTGATACTAAGGACTGCTACCTGGCTGTCATAGAGGTACTTTTGTTTCATTTTTACCCTTTTTGTCTTATTAAGTAGTTATTTGGCTACTCAGCTCATCTGAAGCATAAATGATTAGAATTTAAAGTTCAGTTTCACGATAAATAATAAAAACATTGTTTGTTGCATCATATAAATGTGTAAAAACCACTGAAGTTTTACTTTTTAACTACTGGAAGTGACTTTCTTCCATTCTAGTTAAAAAAAAAAAACTACACAACTGATGCACTTCCTGATTCTGTGCAGAACCAGGATTCAATCAGCTTGGACACAATCTGTCGTCTTTATGAAGTGGGCCGGCAGAAGTTGGCCGAGGAAGGAGGCGACGATCAGGTGGGATTTCTTACATTTACTCTGAAACGACAAAAAGAAAAACAGATCTGCCCCGAGCTCTGCCCTGGTCCACGCTTGTGTCGGGGGTTTGGATATTTAGTTTTCAGCTCGTTCTGTTTTCTTCCAGGATGATGAGGATCAGGACAACAATGATTCCTCAGACTCAGACGACGACGACGACGACGACGATGATGATGTGCTCGATATCGACCCCCTCATTCAGGAACTCGCAGATATTGAAGAACAGGAAAACGAAGAACGGGAAAACAGGGACGGCGCTAATTTGCCTGCAGACGAAGAGGTAGCTGAAGAGGTAGCTGAAGAGGTAGCTGAAGCTTCCCCGCGCTCTGTGCTCTCACTGGTTAATTTAGAAAATGAGCCATAAATCAACATTTGGTTTAAAATGAAGTCATATTTATTGTGTGAACGCTTCACAAGTGTTCACACTATTGAATCATTTTTTCTTCCGTACGTTTTTTGACACGCATCTCGTACCACAATTTTTGTGGTGTTTTAACAATTCATACATCAAAACGTTCAGCTCCTTCAAGATATTCTGACTGTGACTTTTAGTATTTCAGCTATTTATACTTTTTCAGCCTCAATTTTCCCATTGAAAATGAATGGAGCTATTTTCAACATCCTTAAAATCCTTCAAAATGTTTCTAAACCTTTGCAGCACCTTACACCTTTTCTTCTGGTTTAGCCTCCTTGTGCTAGTTTTAGCTAGTTTTTAGTGATAATTTTAGCTATAATTCAGCTTCTTTCTGATATTCTTCTGCTGTTTTCTACTTTTATTGTGCTTCTTTCTGCTAATTTGAGCTATTTATGCTTCTTACAGTTTTCTGCTATATTCAGCTATCCTCTGCAATTTTAGCTAATGTTCAGCTGTTATTAGCCAAAGCTAGCTTTTTTTAAGCTAATTTTACATTTTGGTGACTTTTCAGCTTCTTTCTGCTTAGTTCAGCAAACTTGTGCTCCTTATGCTTCCTTGTGCTGATTTAGGAATTTCCAGATACATTTTAGCTGTTTTACTGCACATTTTGGTGGTTTTAGCTATTTTATAACAAATTGTCACTTTTTTGTATTTCCATGCATCTTTTTCTGCTAATTAACTTTTTTTATACCCATTTTATCATCTGGGTGTGAATTACAACTTGTGCCTGCTAACTTTAGCTTGTTTTTCAGCTAATTTTAGCTTTTTTCTGCCTTTTCAGCAATCTTTCTGCTCCTTTCAGCTATTTTTCTGCTAAGTTAAACTTTTTAATGCTTCTTTCAGCTTTTCAGATTGAGCTCACATTTTTAGCTSCATTTCAGCAGCTTCCAGCTAAAGTTTTCAACAATAAGCATTTTTGCAGGAAATACAATTTCTTTAGTTTAACATGATGTTTTTGTAAATATCCAGTCAGTCTTTGCTTCCTCTCCAGTTGGCAGACATTTTCGGCAGCAGTAGCAGCAGCAGCAGCAGTGATGACAACAATAACGACGACGATGATGATGATGATGATGATGACTCCGATTCAGATCAAGATGGAGCTGATGCAAGTAAGTAACTGTTATTAATTGGCTGGTTATTGGTTGTTTCTTTTGAACAATATTATTATTATTTTAATGTTTTACCGTCTCTATAAATTAGTTTTTGTGAGAAGAAGTTAAAAAACAGAAAAGTCTGTATAGAAATTAATACAGAGGGAGAAAAAGGTTTTATTTTAACTTCTTGTTTTGCATGATTTTCAGTTTATGCTTTGATATTCTAAAGGTTTCAGCTCTTTTTAGGCAGATAAAGTAATTTTAATAATTGTTTGTGTAATCGGCTTCAAACTGTGTGTTGCAGTTTTTGGAGACGGATCTGATGATGATGATGATGATGATGATGGCTCTGAGCTGTTTCAGTCCCTCCCTGACAGATGGTTTTCATGACATAAATAAAAACCTGGCCCCTCGTCCCCCCTTGCTGACAATGTGAATCTGTCTTTAGAGAAATGACAGAAAATTGAACCTTAAATCCACAAATTTCTAAAAAAAAAAAAAAAAAAAAATTGCAGACATTAATTTTTTCTGCCTCTTGTTTCAGTATTTATAAAAGTTTTGAAATGTGTGTTTTATTTGGCAGAAATGATGCTCTGTTTTTTTAGTTCAAATCAGAGAAATGTGAAACCACACAGATGACCCTTTTTTACCTTTTATGCAAAACAATGTAAAATATTAAGGTTTGTGCAAAATATAAAGAGTATCTCTACCCAACAAATGTCTTATTTTTATTAAACTGTTGTCTTGTGTTGTTGCAGTCACTGTAGGTGATTTTATATTTTCTCTCTAATGTGGAAATGTTTGACTTTTAGATCAAACAAACTAAAGATGATGTCCAGCAGTAAAAAATAAAAATAATTCTGAAACCAGCAGCTGAGTGAGTCCACAGAGCTCAAACTGCAGCAGATAATCTGAATGTGAGTCTGAGAAAGATTTGTTTATTTAATTTAGTTATTTTCATGTTTGCAGGTCTTTTTCAGGGATAATTTTACTTTTTATGAAAGAAAACATATAAAGTAATCACAGCAGATACTGTTTTTATTAATTTGAGTCTAAAGTTGAACTAACAGCACTGAATATTTGGATTAGTGTTTTTTAGTAATTTTTTTGAGTGTGTTTTCTGAAAAAAAGATAATTGTTTTATTACTTGTAAGTTTTTGATAAAACACAAATCTTTGTTTAAAAAAAATCGTCAAAAACCATAAAATCTGTGCAGGATGAGCTGGGTAAAATGCATCAAAGCAACAGTAAATCTACTTTATTTATCTTCTTATTTCAGTGTGAGGTTTTTGGTAAAGTTTTTAATGATTTCATAGATTAAAAAGAAATGAAGAAATATAAAAGATGTTAAAAACCGAAAAAAAATCAAAATTTTATTAGTTTTCTTTCTTCATTAAGTTATGAATATTCTAAACTTGTTCATTTGTATTTATGAATAATCTGACATCTCAACACGTTTATTTTCTTTCTTAATAAATACTGACAGATTGGCCCTTGTCTTCCACCAAGTTTTTAATTTTGGCTCCTGTTTTGTAACATTTGCTCCGTTTGAATTAATTTTTTTGTGTTTTTTGTAGTTTTTAGTTGTGTGGATCTGAGGTTAAAGCCTGGAGTTTAAAACTGAGATGCAACRGTTAATTTGGTGCTCAAGTTCTTCTAATTTCAATCAGTTCTTTGTTTTTCTGTGTTCTCACTTATTGAAAAGTCTTCCTTTACAGGAATTTAATTAAACTAAAGTTTTTCAGTTGCTACAGGGTTTTATTGAACACAAACTTGTTATTACAGTTTTATATTTGTTTACTTTGTTGAACAATATAATTTAACAAAATAGCAATCTTTGGTTTGAAGGTACTTTTCATCATCAGCTAAAGCTCTTCGCAGCAGTTTGGCAGCAGATCATGCTGAGATTAACTGACATAACGGACAAACTTTGTGCTGTTTTATTCTGAAACAATCAGAAATGAAGAGCTCCATTTTGGTTATTTTAAGCCATAATCATCGTTTTATTTATTTATTTATTTTAAGAGTGAATTCTTTTGGTCACATGAATACAGTTTTCAAAACCTGAATGAATGTATCTTAAGATTATCTGTACAGCTGGACAATGTTAGCCGTTTACAGCTTGAATACTTTCAGGTTTCATTTTAGTTGTTTTTTTAAGGGGGCATGGGGTCAATTTTGCAGCTGTAAAATGTTTTTTTTAACAGATTGTGTCTGTAAATATGTTTGGATTGTTTGAATTGATTACATTTATCAGTTTGTTCTTTTTAAAATAAAAACATTTATTCTGTGCAGCTTGTTAGTGTCAAACAACTGAAGTTGATTAAATCAGGGGAGATGTGCTGCTTTATTTTCATATAATAAAATGAACAGATTTAATGTGGTTGGCACTAATAGTTTATCTTTTTAACTGTTTATAACTACACGGATAAGTAAAAATTAAACATATCTAAGTTTATTTGTATTAGTGCTAATTTTTGGTGTTTAATTCTTACTGCAAAAGAATTGACTGTTGTGCATAAATAACCAGAACACAGCATTAATTTAAAAACATTTTTTCGTYTTTTTAAAATGAAAAATATTACTGCTGGGTTTAATGGTAGAAGGTGTTTTGTCTGAGTTAATCTCACCACACAAACAAGAAGTGAATTCTTTTAACATTTTTTCCCTGCAGATTATGTGTGGGTGTGCTTCTCCGGGATGTCCACCAGAGGGCGCCATTCTGCAAACATTTCTGTAGCCTCCAACATACTGATACATAAATAAACATGAGCCTGTAAGTAATAAACGAAATATAGATGGTTGATGTGAACTCAAATTAGAAAACCTGTAAGCTTTTTATGTGGCTCAACCATTCAGCACAAATTATTTATTTTATTTATTTATATTATTTAGGCACATATGTTAGGGAATAAGAGTTACAGTAGCTTGGTAGATGTAGGTGAACGTCTATTTTATTGATTTATCTTTTAGCATTCAATCAAGTTGATTCATGTCAATATTTGAAAGAATGCAAAATTTATTGTTTGACAAAAATGGTTTTTCCAAGTTACTCTGAATTCATCATAACATTACGATTTCACAAAAATCCTTTATTTCCACTAAATGTCTTTTTCAAAATGATTCTGATTCCACCATATTTGTTTCCCTAAAGCAGTCAGCCTGATATAAATTCAGCTTCCACCTGGTTTTCAGAGGATTCAGCCTTTGTTTACATTGAATGCATACCCGCTTTTCAGAATTTCATTTCAATATATTTGGGAAACCGCTGGAGTTCTCTCAAACTGCACCAATGAGTTCATGCTTCTTTTTTCATCCATTTTGAAAATATTTTTAAATGTGCCTTTAAAGCTTTTATGTGTGTTTTTTTCACCCGTGCGTCAGAGAGCACGCGCCACGGTCTCTCCCATAAATTATGGAAGATCACCTGCTGTAATTTAGCCTCGCGCGTCATCCAGTGAAAACCTTTAACCATCAGGTGGACCCGTCCTGCTGCGGAGCGGGAAACCCACTGAATCACAGGCTGCCCTCACCTCCCTCATCCTCTTCAACCCACAACGCACAGACAGGACTGTCATTGTTTCCTCCTCCTCCTCACGCGCCGGGACAAGTTGAGTTAGTGGCAACTCGCGGACGCATGCGTGCACGAATCGTAAGTAAGAAAAGCGAAAAGCAGGACTCGGATGCTGCACGGACTGAGGTTTCTCCGAGGTTTGAGGAGACCGGGCGGTGGTTTTCAGCTCTTATGTGGCGCACTTTATTTTTATTTATTTATTTATTTATTTATTATTTTTTAGTTGTGGTCACAACCAGGGCTCCTGTGTAGTCTGAGCTCACCCTGACGCCTGACCAGCAGAGATGGACGGAGCCAACGCGCCATGCGTCGACCCAAACCTCCTGACGGGATAAACAAACCCTCTCCTCTGCTGCGCGCAGTTTATTAAACAGCCAAACCTCGTCTTGAACAGCTAAAATATTCACATTTTCCTCCCTCCCATCCTCCGGAGGGAAACTTTTCCTCTGCTCCCATCTCYCTCCTCTCTGGGTGACAACTCTGCGGGATTTCCATGAAGCGACGCCTCGGGTGAATCGACTTTTCCGGGGGATTTTTATTTAATTTTTATTTTGTTGCTCTGGTTCCTGCGGGGGCATCATGTGGACGCCGACGGAGGAGGAGAAAATCGGCGTCGGTGAGTTTGATGTTTATTTATTTACGCGTTTCATTCCTGAGCAGAGCAGTTGYGCCCTCTCATTCTTGGCACAGCGTATGTTAGCCAGTGGGATGCTTCCAGCTGCCTCTGCATCACGGATGACTTGCTGGTAAATGATGTGAGAAGGAATCCTCTGATTCTGCAGAAGTGAAGCTGTGGGTCTGTCCACAGCTTCACTGGCATCTTTGGGTCTTTTCTTTGGAGAAGTGGAGCAGCAGGGCTGCTTGAAGGAGGCTTTGGAGCTCTGGGCTGCAGCTCTTTTGGGGGCACCATTGACATTTTTTTCTTAAAACATACAAAGTGATTTCAAGGTTTCCAATCAGACAGAACAGAGCTTCTCTAAAGAGTGGAYCTGAACTGTTCCTCTGTTTAAACTAAAAAACAAAAAGGTGTTTTTATTCCACACATCAATCAAAGTGTCCGACTAAAAGAGAAGAGGTCAAAAAAAGATAAGCAGCTGCTGCACCGGAGCAGGTGGAGCAGCAACTGCTCTTTAAAGTGGGGGGAGCAAATTAGGGTTTTTGCTCCCCCGTTACTTAAAAACATTTAAGACATTTTAGGTGAACTATCCAAGAGTTTATATGAAGTTATTTAAGTTTTGCAGCTTTTAATGTGGGTTTCATGCAGGTTTCTGAGACTCTGTGAGCATTTTTAGTCATTTAAACTAATAATGGACAAAATCTGAGCTAAAAAACAAAGTTTTCTAAATGTCTACCTCTGGTTTCACATCAGATTTTTCTCCTGGTTTATTTCTTATAAAACCAAAGAGGAGACCTTTGGGGGATTCAGATCCAGGCCTCTCACATGAAAGCACAATACAGAATCATCCTCCTCAGTGTCCTGATCTCACCCCTTATTTAATGACATAATTAGGCACCAAGGTAGGTAACATCAGCAGGAACAGTAATATTTTCTAAAGGTGAAAATATTGAGTAAATGATGCTGAAAATGGAGGAGAAGAAGAGGAAGATCTGAGGGAGGGGGGACGCTGCTGTGACCACTGAAGGGAGGCGATAATAGAGAATAAAAATACCAACATTCACAAGTTGAAATTGTTTCAGTCGCACAAGAAACGTTTACAAGATTACACGATAAAAGAAATCTGCTAAATTCACATTTTTCATCTTTTTACCTTTAAACATTTGATTGTTTGTCAGTGAAGTGGTCTGTGGTGTGAGTGTTATAGTGCAGCTGTCACAAATGAACTGCAACATGAGGCAGGCTATTTGTTGAAGCCAGAAACCTCGCTGCAGGTTACAGATACAGTGTTTTGTGATATAAAGTGTGTAACCATGGAGAAGTGAAACGGMTGCAGCAGGAGGATCCAGTGAACGGACAGAACGGTGAACTGAAGGGACGAGCAGCCAGAGGTGATTTATCAGCCAGTGTTGTGTTGCAGCATAATGATGCTGAATGGTTTCAGATGAGCGTTGGTGGTTTAGGGCCCATTAGTCAATAATCCACAGTTCAATTATTGCCTCTGTCTCTATCATTCACCCCCCCCCACCCCCTCCATAAGTCACCACCTTTAGCAGCCGCTGTCACACTTCTTAATGATTTATTTCTTTATTTGTCACATATTTTAAAAGCTGCATAATTTCAGATAAGTTTTAACAGATTAATCACATTTTTTCCTACATACACCTGGTTACATTTCCAAACTTGTTTTCTTTTCTCAGTGTAAAATAAGCAGAAGCTGCAGTTTCACTCATTTAATCTTCAATCTACAGATTTTGATTGTAGTTTTTTTTACGTGAGTTCACGCTGAGGTTGCACTTTGAATTGTTCTGCTATATTTCAACTATCATATGTAACCTGAAGCTTATCACATGTTAGATTTTGAATTTGTCCACCATATTTGGATTGTTTGTGCAGCTCAGTTTTTATTTTTTTGGGTTTGATTATTAATTATGCTCAAAAAACCTCTTTAGAACAGAGCCGTCTGTCACAAAGATCTTAAAGGGATCCCTGATTAGTTGCAATATTAGACTTTATTTGATAAGCATATATTTTAACTGTAAAATAAAGACTGTAAAAATACTGTAGGATGTTTAGTTTTTATAATTTTTAAAAATATATTTTAACACGGACAGAGCCATTTTATTTACAYRCAAAGCATTCTGGGTAMATGATGACGTGGATAGGTCCTCGGTGCGAGGCTGCTAGCGAGCTATATCCACCCTGAAGGTTAATCTTGGACAATATGTGATGATCGACTCTTTTAAATGAAACCAGAGAGCGTTGACAGAGAGGAGAAGGTAGAAATGACTCAGCCTGKAACTGAAAATATGGATGGAGGACAACAGAGCTGCTTCATGGAAGAAGAACCTCAGCTTAGCCTGTTAGCTTTAGCGTTAGCTCCAACGCTATATTGCCTTATATGTATTAGCTCGGTGCTAGCGCAACAAACAAGCTAAACTGAGGTCCTTCATATATATTCACATGTGAAGTAACAGGAAGTGATGTCAAAAGGGAATGCCTGCACGTGAACGCAGCATAACGGCCAAAAACACAGACTGTAGAGAAGAATCAGATGTTTTTTTTTTTTAGATTATTATGAGTCACCATCACAAGATGAAGAAGAGTCAGAGTTCAATTAACAAAAAAACACAAGAAACAAAGAGTTCCCCTTTGATGTCACTTCCTGTTTCACTTTTGGCTGAGCCAAGTTCAAAAGACAACACGCCAGTTATGTAACAAAACAGGTAAAATCACACGTATTATGTCAAGTTTCTTAAATATAATTCCTTTGATGTGTACGACACGAGCTCTTTAACATGTGTATCTTATAAAAACGTGTTAAACCGACCCATAAACGACTGAACTTCACGTTAATAAGTTCTGACCACCCACGCAGCTGAAACGCGCTGTGAAAACTAATCCAAACCCACCACCCCCCACACACACACACATTTCCCTGGAGGTGGAAGCCATGGACTGACAGCTGCCCGGGCCTTTCTGAGTGACCGATTAGGCGAGACTCCACACCAGTATGGTGCTGGAGGAGGGAACCGGACTCTGCTGACAGGAAGTCGATGCGGGGAATCATGACTCCAGCACTCTGTTAATTGGAACGAGACATTTACAGAATTTGAATGAGACACCCCCCAGTTTTCTTTAAACTTCTTTGTAGCCTGATCATAGCTTTTCTCTGTTTGACACAAAACTCAGAGTTACATCAAGGTGAATCATGGTCTGATAGTTAAAAAAAATAGAAACAAGCTTCTCTTTACCTGATTTATAAATAGATTCTGTAAAACAAATGTGAAGCAATGTTGATGTAACCTGATCAATGTGTCCACACCACTTCCAYGGTGTATGCTAATTAATGCTAATAACAGTTTTTATAAAAGACAATTTATTTTTGAGAAACAGTCCACTCCAAAAGTACGACCGGAGGAGAAATAAGAATCTAAGTGAAAATAAGGAAGAAATTTTAAAAGTGAGGAGTCATGTTTCCCATCAGTGTTTTGATGCATGCAAGGCCTTTTCTGGATCTATTTGTGTTTTTTATTTTTTTATTTTTTATTTTATTTTTTGCTGGATAAGGTTTTGCATACCAAGGCGCAGAGAGTGGTAACTCAGAGGCGTTCCATAGACTTGGGCTGACTAGTGCCCGGTTGTAGAAAACAGCTATTCAGCTGGATGAATGCAGCTTTGTGGCGCCCGGGGAGGTTTTCTGAATGCAGCTTCACCTCCCCCAGGGGCAGCGCTGCACACGGCYCAGTTCTCACACTCCACACGGAACACAAGACAGACGCACAAATTAACATCCCAGACAAACTGTTCATGAAAACAAGGTTTAACTTCACCAAAACACAACAGGTCTTCTCATGAGGATTCATGCAGAAGTTTGTTTTTGGAATTGAAAGGGGTCTGAAAAGCACCTGGGATTTTTCAAACCCGACACATTTCTTTACCTACAAGGAATGAATCAGCAAATGTAGGACTTTAAATTGACTGTGTTCGCCTTGTGCACAAAAACAAACTGTTGAAACTGACTCAGAGGAGAAAACTTGAAGCCCACACAAAGCCTCCAGTCTCTCAGCTGGGTCAATTCCAGAACCTTCTTGTTTTGAAATGGTTCCAACTTCTGGACCAGATGTTGACAAATATGGACAATTTTACTGACCAGACAGGAACCACCAAACTCTGAGTTGTATTTACTTTTTTATCACAGAAAAGACAGACAAGCAAACTAAACATCACATTTGCAGAGATAAAAAAACATGTGAATTGATATTATATTTATTATTCATATTTTTTGTCTTTTATAATAAAAATTCCCTATAAATTTAAGCTAAATGAGTCTGCAATCTTATAGAATAGAGGGAAAACATCATGTAAACTGCAGCTTTGAAAAAAAAAAACAAAGTAAAAAGCTATAATTTTGCTTTTGAAAGAGACAGGCTGTAATTTTTACATTCACCAGTGACTTAGAGAAATTAATTTTATTTTTTGTAAATTTCCAGAAACATAATTATTTTGTAAAATTTCAGAGAATAGAAAAATACAATGCTTTTTTGTTAATATTTCCATCCATCCATCCATCCATCCATCCATCCATCCATCCATCCATCCATCCATCCATCCATCCATCCATCCATCCATCCATCCATCCATCCATCCATCCATCCATCCATCCATCCATCCATCCATCTCTTATCCAGGATCAGGTCTCAGGGGCAGCAGCCAAAGCAGACAGACCCAGACTTCCCTCTCCCCAGCCACTTGGGCCAGCTCGTCTGGGGAAATACCCCAGGCCAGCTGAGAAACATAGCCCCTTCAGTGTGTTCTGGGTCTTCCTCTGGGTCCCCTCCCAGTGGGACATGCCCAGAACACCTCACCAGAGAGACGTTCAGGAGGCATCCTAATCAGATGCTCAAGCCACCTCAACTGGCTCCTCTCGATGTGGAGGAGCAGCGGCCCTACTCTGAGTCCCTCCCGGATGACCGAGCTTCTCACCCTATCTCTAAGGG